TATTAATTACTTTCTACAGCTATGCAAGTCTATATTAAGACAGCATTAAATGTTTACTTTAATCTGTACTTTCAATCTCAAGAATCAAAAGATTTTTAAAAATGTAATTTCAAATGTGAAAATGTAATTTCACATGTAATTTCAATATTCAATTTAACACACACCAAGAAAGTGATTTCGTTAACTAAAATTAATTAATGCAGCAATTTATTTAAATTAAATTTTAATACTAAGAAAAGAAAACAATAAAAGTATCAAAAATTTAAAACAGTGTTTTTTAACTTTTAAAATCAATATATATAGATAAAAAAAATTAGTTGATTTAAATCAATGATTTTTTTAAAAAAATCATTTGATTTAAATCATGATTTAAATCGTGATTTAAATCAAGCTGATTTAAATCAACGAACTCTGATTGTAGTTAGTGCATGTTCATTAGGCAAAAAATCATTTGGTACAAAACATTCTCCCTTGAAGATATTGGTTTTGTTCGTTAAAGGAATTACCCATAATATTTATTTATTACCTTTTCTTGGTACTTTCTAACTATCATTATGCTTTTGATCCATTATTCTAAATGATATTATGATTCATAAGATTAACATATTTAATTTACTAAACTTATTTAAACTGTTTTACAATTGTTAAACAGTAAATAAGTTAAATAAAAATTTTGGGATCTTTCAGTTGCATATTTTTAAATTTAACTGGATCAATTTTATAATAAAAAAAAAAAAATGTAATTGTGATAACAATGATTGCAGCAATTGTTGGGATTGGTGAACATAGGGAGAGAGGGACAGAGCTCCTGGTAAAACATAATAGTTCAACTTACTTTGGTTCGCTTAACGTCTTTGCTGTTTGTTCAAATAAATTATCCTTAAAATACTGAAAGAGAGGATAATAACATACTGTAAAATATATGAATAAAACTGCACACATAAATTTTTACAATTACAATGTAACTAAATTAAGAAATAATTGAATTGCAAAATTGATAAAAATCAGTCATTTCATTTGTAAATATAATCTTGTCATTGAATGAAAGAACAACTAATATCAATATGTTAGAGGTTAAATTTTAAAATTTCAAGAAAATTAATTTTTCTTTATAAAATGTTGCTGATAGGAAGAAAAATACTGATTTTTTATTTTTATTTTTAATAGTAAAAGTTATCTTTTCAACTATGACATAACCATTTGCTAGACAATATTCTTACATTAATTGATGCAATTATTAAAATCAAAACTCTTAGTCTCTCACCACAGGGGTGGTTGTGAGCCCAAGTCAAAATTCCAGAAATTTCTTAAGTTAAAAAAAAAAAAAAAACAGTTTAAATTGAAAAAATTTAAACAAGTTTTTTTTTCCTTTTTCTCAATATTTCTTACCTTACTTAAAATATATTTAAAATTTTACATACACTTATACCATTTACACATACCTATGATGACCTGGAGAAGTAATTAAAATTTACAAATATGTCTTTCTTTCTTGAGTTTATGATTATAACAACTATTTACTGATAAAAAATGAATATTAATCATGAATATAAGCTTATAAAGTATCTCTCTGGCTCTCCCTTACAAGCAAATAAAATAAACTGTGTTTTTAAGTTCCACCTTTGAAAATTTGATTTCCGGAAACTTCTGTGATAAATTATTTTTTTAAACGTCTGGAGCTTCGATCTCCGGAAACTTCCAGATCACTGTAAGCGAAAATTTCGGTAATCCGGATTTTTTCCAGAGCACAATCAGCCCTGATCATATTCCTGAGTAATGTTTCTCAATTACGGTTAAAAATAAAATTCAATATAAAAAAAAAAAAAGCAACTTAGATTCAGCTTGACTGTATGAATATATTCGGCACAGCCGATAAATAATGAGATAGAGGTTATTAAGCTAAAAATTTATTTAAAAAATGGAGATAGGGTTGAAAACAAGTTCTGAAAGTAAGAAAAAAGATTTACCCACTTTTCCCTCACTAGTTTTTTTTTTTCCATACCACACTTTTACAGAAACTAAATTGTAAAGTCTTGAGCGCCCACATAATCCCTATTCCTTTATGACTTTCACATAACTGCACTTCAAGGACCACAATTTCAAACAGATGAAATGAAGAAGTGTCTCTTTAACTGGTTTTAACAGCAACGAAGTGTTTTAGCAAGACATATTGCATATAATGTCATGATAGCTTAGATACCTAAACTATGGACAATTTTTTGAGTTTTATTAAAAAAACTGTATGAAATTGTAGTTATTTACTGACTGTACCTAGTAATATGAAATTTATGTAAAAGGAAAATTAAAAAAAACAAAAAAAAAAACAACAACTCACAAAAAATATTTCTGCTTTACAATGGAGTAAAGCATCAGACTGCTTTGCAGTAGGAAATGTGGCAGCAAACGTGGCTTGGGCAGCACTAGCCGCAGGTGCATATAAATCACACTGGCTCAGGAGCCAAACTCCCATTATGCTTTTGAGATATGGAGCAATTTCTCGTTTAATTTTAGAAATAAGTTCCCCATTTGCTAGATGAGTTGCTTCTCTTATTCGTCGATCTGTGTCCTATAAAAAGAGAAATGGTATTACATAACAACTTTCAATTTCATTAGTTCAAAAATAGTGAATAAAACACAAATAAACAAAAGCAATCCTAGAAGAGATATTCTTACCAAAGCTAATCTGTTGAACAATCGTGGCCAAAAAGGCATAACATTTTTTACAACTTCAAAGTCTTTCTCAGAACAGAAGTCTTTAAATTCTTGCAATGCCTAAAAAATAAAATGCATAACCTTATCAAATTTAGATTCAAGGTAAAATTGGTATTTGACTTAATATCATCTTTAGTTTAACAACATCATTTAAAAATAGAAATTTTTTATATTTCATTATTGATTCAGTATTTTATTAGCACATTTCCTTTCCATTTTAGTTTTTATTGATATAAAATTAACTTTTTGAAAAACATAACTAATTTCAGCAATTTGGTTCTTATCTTCTCATAAACTCTACAACAGAAGTTACAAAAATATACTTTTAATCCTGTTAGAGAAATTGAATACTGTACAGGGGTACATAAATTTGGAACAGAAGCCAAATTATATACAACTTTTAAGATGAAACTACTCATAATTTTGTCTTAGTATATTAGCATGGATCAATTGGATTGAAGTTAGATAAAGGTAAGTATTTATTAAAATTTATACAAACATAAGAATTTTTTTTCTTTTTGAACTCACTGAAACAATTGAGTCACATAAAAAAGCAAAGAGGAATTGTGTAACTTTGAAAGGTAACTGTAAACAAACCTTCAATCTTGTTACTGCATCCCTTTTAAGCATTTTTCTCATAACCATACGGAAGTCAGAATCAACACAACTTTCACATGCATCTGATATCTGCTGTCCTGTGGCTGGTACATAACTTGCCTTATCTTTTTCTAAACTACTAAAACCTATGAACCCATTAATTGTTCTTCCGCTTAAAGAGAGAAGTTGAGCACTGTGACTGCTACTAGAAGGCTAGAAATAGAAGAAATAATCCAAAACATCACATAATATAATACAAATTATTTAATACAAGATGCATAATTCTGTAAACTGAAATTAAAGACGATTTAAATGTAACTTGACTATTTTTGCCAATCATGATTTTGGCACAGCAGATCAAGGTATGAAAATATCCCTGTGTATTAAATATGAAGAAACAGCTGATAACCATTACCTTTTTTTATAAATAATAACTGATATGGTTTTTCGTAGACAAATTTGTTTTGGCATTTAAAATTATTTTTATGCCAAAATTAGGACAATTAAATTTAGGAACTAAATCACCATGTGTGGAACATGGATATCTATCAATATAAAATGTGATACCTGAATTCAATATTCCTGATAAATGACATTCATTAATTGACACATAATTATTTATAAATAATAATATATATATTTACTCTGGTATTTCCTTTAGTTCGTTGAGCTTTATTTGTTTTACCCATTTTCTTATTAAGTTAAATTAGTTAGAATGATAAATAAGTCACAAATTTATTTATTATTTGGGTTTAAATTGTAAACAATTTAAGTTTAATATTTTAAATTAAGTGGAAAATTTTTCTGAGGTGAAACTCATGTTACGTCGATTGTTTTCAAAACATATCGTAAAAAGAAAAAGAAAGGTTGTTGTAAAACACCAACACAAGAGATAACATACGATTTTGAAGCTTTATATCACTGTGAGCAGGTAGCGCAGTAATCAGTATGCTTAAATATCTGTTATAACTGAAAATACCTGTTACCAGAGTTTTTAGATTTAGTATAGTTTAACTCCATATGGCAACCGACCATATATCAACAACTCAGCGTGATTGTTGACAGCTGACGTATATTATTTTTGCCGGTCTAAACACGAATAATGTAAAATATTATCTTAAAAAAGTGTTCCACGAATAATCTAATATATCATCTCAAAAGAGCTATTTTAATATATTTTTTATTTAACAGTACAATGAAAATTGCTGTTCTGCATCCTGATTTAGGAATTGGTGGTGCTGAGAGACTTATTGTTGATGCAGCTCTTGCTATCAAGTCCAAAGGCCATAAACTTTGTATATTCACTACACATCATGATCCAAACCATTGCTTTGAAGAAACTAAAAACGGATCGCTTGAGACTTTTGTTGTTGGTGATTGGCTTCCTAGGAATATATTTGGGAAATTCACTGCAGTTTGCGCTTATTTTCGAATGATATATGCTGCTTTTTATCTTACTTTCTTTAGTGATTTTCACCCTGATATGGTTGTTTGTGATATAATTTCAGCTTGCATTCCTGTGTTTAAGTTAAAGAATATCAAGGTTGTTTTTTATTGTCATTTTCCGGACCAACTGTTAACTGATAGAAAATCGTGGTTAAAATACTTATACAGATTACCATTAGACTGGTTGGAAGAGAAGACAACTGGACTAGCAGATACCGTTTTAGTTAATAGCAATTTTACTGGTAAGCTGTTAATTCTATAAAGTATTTGCTTTCGAAGGATTTCCGTTTTGGTAACCAAACCAAAATAATCACGAAGTTATGAGAGATGGATAATCTCTGAAGCAAAAATGTCACAAAAGGGACCAACTCGAACGGTGAAACTCGTAGCCAACAACCGGGAAAAGCCCAATATATTAAGAAAAATGTTTTTTTTTTCTCATCTTTTTAAAAAATCGTTCTGTGTCTTGCTGAAGTTAGTAGGCACAAGCAGAAATCAACACGGAAATACCTACTTTGTGCCAGGGTTTTATAATATTACTCATGTTATTTTTGTTTGAGAAATGTGAGTTATAGGCATATTTTATGTAATTACTTTCCCACTTACTTGTTGATAGATTCATTGTATGCTCATAACACTTTTTTAGCAGACTTCTGCAGTATCCTAATGTACACAACCCTTTCTGACATATTTACATCTAAATCAGGGGTTTCCAACTTACATGAGGCCGGAGGCCACAGTTAAAAACACAAATCAAATGGCGGGTCGCAACTTTATCAAAATTTTATGTTGGATTCTTTTATGTTTGAAGGAACATTAAATATTACTGTCAGATTTTTACCAAGTTGTACGAGTATGAAACAAAAATATTGAATTAGAAATTAAAATAAGAAGTAGATTTTTAAAAATATTTACTTGCATATTAAAAAAAGTGAGCTACAATAACTTTAGTGTGCACCTATGTATTAAACAATTAATGTGCAACAGATATCTAATTGTTAAGATATAAAACTTTAAAAAGGTTGGTAGTATAAAACATACATAGTAGCACACAAAATGTCATCAGAGAATAGATATTTACATTTTAAATTTAAAATTTACGAATGTGTGTGTAAATATTTTCGTCCAAAATGAGTGGTTTCAAAAAGTTAAATCGGATAATCGCCTCGAGAAAATTTTTGATACACACATGCTAAATTATATTCACAAAATACAAAAGAATGAAATCAAACAGATTATTTTTACGTGATTATTTTTGTATATGAATAAATATTTTCTTGGATGCAAAACCTGAGAAATAAATTTTTTTGCGCCATTGGTATGTTAAATTTCACAGAAACGAAGAAATTAGGTTTTTATTAACAAGAAAAATATTTTACGAGAATTGTCCGAAAAAAAATGACAACTAATATCTTTTAGTTCGCGGGCCACAAAAAAAAAGAAAACANATCGGGCCAAAAAAAAAAAAAAAAAAACTTCACGGGCCGCCAGTTGAAAATCACTGATCTAAATGATTAAGTACACAAGAATTTTTATTGTCATATTGTTTATTATGATTGTTATTTGTTTGTATACATTCAAATTTTGCATATTTGTTTTAATATCTATTATTTATTTTTTACTTGACACAGTTTCAATTCTGAATTTAAAGGAGACATTTCATGATATTTAACAGTGCTTTGTTTAAAATTTTTTTTTAAAAAAATAAAGCAATTTTCCAAGACTTCATTGTGGATCATGGAGGTTAAGGTGATCAATGAATCGATCGTCAAAATTTTGTGATCAATGTTGAATTTTGTGTAAATGGGAATGAAGTAAGCATTTTGCATCAGCTTTCTTTACTTCCCAGAAAAACTAATTATCATTGATCTGATGCTGGTTGGCATTAGGTCTCTACTTGGAATTGTCTTTCTCAATGACAGCTCTGTGACTTAAGTGCTGTGCCATTGCTGTTCATTTTTTTTATCAGTCTACTATCATTACTCCATTTTTTCTTTATCAGTCTACTATTATTTTGTACCTTGTTCTAGTTTACTTAAGTATCATTTAGTAACATTTGTTGCAAGTTGTTAAAAACTTCAAAAATATAAGCTAATCACACAAACATAAAAACTATTTTGCTGTTTACTCATGATATTTTCTAATAAAAATTTTGTATTATTTTTATTTATTTATTTAATCTTTATATATTTTTCTTTTGAATTAGCACAAGTATTTAAGAAGACATTTTCCAGTCTACGTGAGTTAAATATAAAAGTCATTTATCCTACAATTGATGTGAATGCTCTTCTAAGACCTATTCAAGATGCAGAACTAGAAATAAAAACCAAAGCAACAACTATTTTTTTATCTATCAATAGATATGAAAGAAAGAAGAACATATCACTGGCTATTGATGCTCTAGGTATCAAAATATATTTTATATATTTATTTATTTTGTTAACATTTATGGTGTTTTACAAAATCCGATTTTTTTTATTTATCTTGAGATATATGATTTCATAACCAGTTATAAGAACCTAATGGACCAAATAAATGTGTGTTTAGTTAAGGACTATGAAAGATAAATGGAAATTGGTTTAAACTATCAAAAACCTAAAGAAGAAGCTGAAAACTACAAAATGATTTAATTTTAATCAAACTAAATTGAATATGTATATGTATAGTTGTAATTGGTTGTTTTAAAAATTATAAATTACCTTTAAATATGCATTGTTACTTCAATTTTAATTAGCTCATTAACGTAGAATTGATTAAAAAAAGTTTTGAAGTAGTTACAAATTTTGAAATAGAGATTGATAATTCTGTTTATAAACAGTATAAAAATCTTATTAGTTGATGAGATGCATGTAAAAATAATTTTTTAAACAATATTGCATATTTTATTTCTGCTAAAAACTTTAAGCAACTTAGTAAAATGTGATAAAAATATAAAATTTAAATTGGATCTTTATTTTTAGATGCAACTTTTAGCATTTTCTTCAAATTGTAACTCTTTCTAGCTCCTTTTTGTGTTTTTATAATAAATTAAATTAAATGGAACTGAAATAAGTATATTTTAAATATGATTTAAAGCATATTTAAATGTGTGTGCTTGTTTAAATAAGAACTGCTCCAGTTTTAAAAATTTATTGCATGAAGTGATTTAAAATTTTTTAAGGTTATGCAAGCAAGATTGTTATTTTTCTTTTAAAAATTGACTTGTGAAGTTTATATTATTATAAATTTGTTTTTTGACTGGCCATATTATTTCCAAAAGAAAAAATATGTAAATATCTTTAGAGAATGTTGTACTTCTAATCAAAATTTTAAGGTTATGCAAGCAGGATTATTATTTCTTTTAAACTGGCTGTCTAATTTTTAGAAAAAAAAAAAACATTTTCTCAATGAAATAAATCAATTTAATATTTTTGTTTCATTTCTTATAGGGCATCTGAAAAAATTAATGTCCCCTGATGAGTTCAAAGTTCATCTTATTATAGCTGGTGGTTTTGATGAGAGAGTAAATGAGAATAAGGAATACTTTGAAGAACTGAAGACGCATGCTGAGCTGCTTGAATTGCAAGACAATGTATCTTTCCTTAAATCTCCGAATGACAATGCAAAACGAATGCTTTTTCATTGTTGTACTGCTGTTTTATACACACCATCAAATGAGCATTTTGGAATTGTTCCCATTGAGGCTATGCTACTTGGTCGACCTGTGATTGCATGCAATAGTGGTGGCCCTCTTGAAACTATTTTAAATGAACAAACTGGTTACTTATGTGATCCAACTGCTGAATCATTTGCTGAAAAAATGGCGTTGTTGACACGGGATCATAGTTTAGCTCGTGAATTAGGTACAATAGCCTCTGAACATGTGCGCCGTCACTTTGCTTTTCCCATTTTTGCTTCAAAACTTAATTCTGTTATTGACAATCTTTAAAAAATTTATAATTGTTATTTTATTTTATTTATTTTTGTATAAAGGTAACTGATGTTCTGAGGAAATATTTTAAATATCTCTTGTTTCATCAATATGAATTTCTCCTTAAATCAGGAGGGGGGATTGTATTCCAGGTTTTTCGTATCAGTGAACGTGAATTTTCCTTGAATTTGGCGGTATTCTGTTTTCTCAATTTTCACACAATTTAAAATAAGATTTAAGTAAAAAGTAAGAGCTCTGCTATCTAAAATTTAAATTTTGAAACTTTCGCTAAATCACGTTAACCGGACATTTTCATACCTATGATATTTCAGCCAATTCGAATTTTTTTTTTGGTTTATTGGACTTATACCATTTTTAATTTTGAAAATTATGCAGAAATCCGTTATGATCCCATTCACATGATTTTAATATCAAACATTGATTTTCATATTTACCTGATTTAAAAGTTACACATTGTGAATTGCATTCACGCGAGTTAAAAATCTAATGTGGCTACTTGTTTTCATGCATTTCTGATATCAAACACTGATTTTCATATTTATACATGATTTGAAAGTTCGTATTTATTGTAATTTGTAATCACGAGATCTAAAAGTCATGTATCGCTATTCGTATTGACACGATTTAAAGAGTGAATATAGTGATTTTTATTTTCACGTTCTTAAAATCCAGCATTGCGCTTCATTTTCTCATGATTTTATAATCTAGTATCACAATTCTTGTAAGAACCAAGTTTTTTCTTAAATTAGTTCCTATAAAAGTGTGATATTCTTCATTGGTAGGTAATTTAATTATTAATCTTAGTTCAAAAAATTATATTAAATATGTATACTACATAAATTGGTATCTTGAAATCGAGTGTTCACACATGAAATTTTCAGGGTTTTTTACTTTGTGTCACAATTACTCTTGTTAAATATATGTTGTAATATTGTTGAATAGTTTCTGGGTTTATAATTATAATAATAAATAAATAATTTCTATGTTTAACTGTTTTTTTTTTATCTTGTTGGCTTTTGTTTATATGCTGGAAAAGGGATTTAACAATTTTTGCCCATTAATGCCTGAATTTTTTATATGCTGCGATGAAAAAACAATTTCTTATTATAAATGTGGTTATAAGTTTTAACTAAATGAATATTTTCTTCTGTTAGTTACTACTTCATTTTTGAAAAGAATAAAAAACACTTGCTTGATGTGAAAACAGATAAGGAGAATTCTCAGATGATCTCTTGTTCCAGATAAGAAGAATTCTCTATCATGTTAGTCAAAATGGGTTTTAATCCTGACTGTTGAAAACTATGAAAAAGTTCTGTTTCTATAATTTTTAATGTTTACTAAATGCAAGCAATTAAAAGCCAATGCAAAAATAGACATGCATTCTTTTAATCTCTATTTTTATTTATTAAGACTTTTGAAAACTAAGGAAAAGTTCCATTTTCTGATTTTTTTAATGGTTTATTATTTTAGGGTACATTTTTTTCCAACTACTGAGGGATTTAATATTTTTAATGATTTTTTTGAAATTTTGTGACAAACTTTTATTCATATAAAAAGTATCTAAATTATTTGTTTGATATCAATCATCTTGATTTCGTATATAAAATGTAATTTTCAAATCTTCTTTATTTTAAATGTGAATTCAAAATGAATCTAATTATTTTGGTTCCCTTTGAGAATTCTGATTGGTATTATGACTGTTGAACCTTAAATATGTTTAATTAGATATTTAAGCTACTGAAAGTTGTATGAAAATAGTAATATATGATATCAAATGCAATATACTTTTTGTTTTAAATTAAGCATATCTAGCATAGAAATGTTTACTTTAAAAAGAAAAACAAGTTTTTTACTTTTTCAGAAGTAATAATTATAATATTTTAGTAAACTATTATGACATTTTCTAAAACTATTTGCTGTGACTTAAATGATAAAGTGTCGAAACAGTATTTTTCATACTCACAAAAACTATTAGCTTCAATTTCAATATAAATTAAATATCATGTCTTTCATTATGTAGTTGCATTTGTTCTCATTTTTTAAAAAAAATATTATATGATGCTTATAGTTTTTGATTAATCGAATGATCAAAATTTGTATTTTAAAACATTTAGGAAATATTTATTTCAAAATTTATTGAGCCTTATTAAGCCCATAATTAAAAATATTAAAACTGACAAAAAAAAAATTAACTGGACCTCTCATGTTGTTTGATAAAAGAAAAAAAAAACACTTAAATTTTTTTTTTACTGCAAAGCCCTTCTCTAGTTGAAAGGAGGAAAGCCCAAACCTTTATGCTAAATTCGATTTTACAGTATGATCATGAAATCTTTGATTGAATATTTGATAGTCTTTATCACCTCCCTTTTGCATACAATGAAGAATTTTTTGTTCTATTTCCATAAGTATTACAATTGGAATTCTTTTTAATGTAACGTGTAATGCATTTGTATTCATTAAAAATTTACCATTGGTGATTTAAAATTAAAACTTAACAGTTTAATATTGAAACTAATTGAACTATATTGAAAAAGAAATGTTTGAGAAAAAAGTTATTGAAGATTTCAAATTTATTATTTTATGTTGGATAAGACTTTATTAAGAGAAAGAAAAAGAGAAAAAACACTTTTTTGCTTTGCTTTTTTTTAGAGTACTCTATAAACAAAAAATGACTTTAACCGAAATTGAAAATGTCTTCTTACATTTTCTGTCAGTCTTTTATTTCTTCATTAATCAAAGTTTTTATTTATTCATTATTTTTGAATAAAAACAATAAAATCAACTCTAAGATAGATTACAAGAGAAATTTCTGTAGAAGTTTGTTATTGTATGAATGATTTTATCATAAATTTTTCAACGTAAGTGGAAAAATTTATTTAATTCAATAAACTATTTAAAGAATGTTCATATTAAGAAATGAGAAAAAAGTTCCAAAAAGGATTTATAGATTTCTTTTTATATTGAATTCTATTATTATATAATTTATATAAAACTAACCAATACTATTTTTTTTTTGGTATTGTTATTTCTAGTTAAATGCACTTTCATTGACCTAAAAAAAGTTTTTATTTTTCAAGTAGCTGTTTAGAGGTGATCTGAAACCTAAGACAATTATTGTTATTCTAATTATGAAAATTTGTAATTCTAATACCGTTCCTTTGAATACAAGAAAGTATTTCTCATTTTTTTTAAATCCAATCAAAAATCTTCTATTCAGTGATTTGATCCTGATAAGGTAAATAGCAAATAACAGCACAATGTTAACAAATTAGTTGCATATTGCATTTTTTTTTTTAGCATTTTGACAATTTTGCAATGTGGCAAGGCATGTTTTTTCTGAACCATCTTGTGTTATCATCTTCAATTTAAATAACTTAATGTTATCGTACTTGAGTTTGATTCCCATTCGATTCAAATAAAATTTTTATTCAAGGGCTTATTGTGAAATAATGACAAACCACAAAAACAATTAAAAAATTGGGGGAAAAAAAACGTAAAATCCTATATCATTGTAATATATTTCAGTATATTAACTTATGCTTCAAGGGCTAGATTAATATAGATTTACAGGTACGAGATTCTCACTAAAGTTGGTATCCACCCTCTTAACTTTCAAACAATTGCAGCTATAGTTAATAGTGGCCACACTCTACAAGATGAGATCAATTACCGCACCATCTTTTTTCCAAGATATTGGGAAAAAAATTGTTTAGAAAGTTATAGAATAGCATCGATTTAGTATATATAGACCATGTGAATACTATGAAACGAATGCTTCAAATACGCATTGTTTCTGTGGGCTTTCCTACTCAGTGTCGCGATGACACGATCTAAGAAGGAAAAGTAAAACCAGGGGGCAGAAAGAGTTATACGATAGAATGAATCTGGCCAAAACTAGGTCTTTAAGTTTTCTTTCTTTCTTTCTTTTTTTTCCAGAGCAGCTATTTGTATAAATTAGCTGGCATTTTTATTTAAATGAGGAATTAGTCCTTCAGTTCTAAAAATAAATATTATTGAGCGTAAAAAAGCTATATTTTGGAGGATAAATTGATTATTTTTTTGAAGTATGGTGCCAGTTTTTATCCAATCTGATCAAATAAAACCTATATTGAAACAATTAAAAAGAAGTACTCTTCCTACTGAAATATTTGCTTTCAGCATTAAATTAATACCTAGACACTTCTTTTCTGCGAAATATGCGGGAATTCTAGAAAATCAAAGAATCTGAGCAATTTTAAATTTAATCTAACTTCTAGTAAATGAAGTTAGTTTATCGTAATAAAATTCCGTTCAGCCTACAAGTTTCCTGTGTCTAAAATTTTTTTTTGAGGTTCTGGATCCAACTTTTCTATTATTTGGACTAGGCCAAACTTTTAGCTTATAGCCTTTTGTACTACCCGATTTTGTCCCACTTACAAAGTCGCTGTTTCAGATTTTCCAACCCAACGGCCTTAAACGAAGCGCTCTCCTGTTTAACATTTCTTAAAAAAATAAAAAAACTTGACTTTGGACTTTTTCAAGCAACAAATTTTAAAATAAATAATAGCTTGCATTATAATTGCAAGCGACCAACTGCAGCCAAGAGGAAAATCTTCAAAAAGAAAAAAAAAAGGCCACTGGATTGTAAATTAGCGTCCCGGTTGTATCCATCAGATCTATGAAAAACGTGTTTTAATAATTTCAAAAGAGTGATAGTGTATTTAGATGTGAACTTACTGAAAATAAATCTTCAAGCAAGGCTACGGAGTAAAATTGGCAGTGTGAGAATCAAAACTTTTCTAATCTAAGTTCACAAATACAACTGCCTTTCACTCATTTCTAAAGAGCATGGTGATTGTCTGCGGTTAATTTCATGTGATTTTTAGTAAATGGTTGTTATTTTATATAGTTATTTTGTCAAAAGCTCTGGATCTTAGTTTTTCCCCACCTAGCAGCTACTTTTATTTTGGATAACTAATTATTCAGTTGCCTGAGAGAATTTCCAGCTTCTAAATCAATATCTTGTGATAATTAGTTGCTTTTTTTTCCTTTCGAAAATTATTTCGTCGTGTGATAGTGCAGGAAATTACAAAAAAATAAATGCGTGTTTTGAGCGTTTTTATTTTTATTTTCTTTCCTTTTTTTATTTTTTTTTAGCATAACTGCTCACAATGCGTCGATGATATCTGCAACTTGGTAATTCTTTTTTCTTACAATTATCTGTACCTTTTTTCGAAACATCATAGCAAATTCCACAGTTTCCCATGATGTGATGCTATAAGTAGTAATGTAATATTAAAACTTCTTTTTTTTCTTCTTTCTCGTAACGTAATTCTCTGTGAATGGATGAGGAGGGGAATAAAAGCGAAATTACAATTAACGCATCGTTATATGCATATTTTGTTTTTCGACCGATATAGATGCCAGTTGATAGCCGGAAGAAACAGGAGTAGGTAAAAATAGTAGTTTTTAATAACCTTTAACTGAATTGCTATGTTTAAATAGACAAATTAAATTTTGATGTATGATTTCCAAACCTAAATTACTGTCTTTAAAAATAATAATTAACCAGCCCCATTGGCGAGTGATGTTTTGACACAGAGTATACATGATTATTAAATGACTGTAACTTCTGGGAAATTGATGGATTAAGCTAGTTTCGATGAATATGTGATACTTAAAACACACTCAACTTCAAGCGAAAAAAGTTAGTAAAAGAATCGTTTTAAATTAATTAGATGTTATAACCATCTAAGATGATTTTAATATCTGTTTTTATTAAAATGTATGAATTTAAAAATAAATTCAAATAATTAAAAGCATTCGATATCCAAGTTCATTTAATGTCAAGCATAAATAAAAAGCGTTCCAGTCAATTTAAATGCATAGTTTTTAGTGGAATGTAGTTATTGAATATTATAGACAATAAAAATTCATGTGTTTGAAATATTTTTGATATTACACAATAGTTTGTATGACATTAATATTGTTTCGTAGAATCCACTGCTTTT